CGTCCGCCCGCCGCGTCCCGCAGGCTGCTGCGTGCGCCCCGCGCCGCATGCACCGACCCACCCCCGGCCGGGCCGCTGCGCGCTGCTGCGGGGCTTTTTCCAGCTCCCTCCTCTTCCTCCTCCTTCCGCCGCGACTCAGCGAGGCCGCCGCCGCCGCCGCCGCCGCCCCGACGGCCTCCCGCGGATCGCAGGCGCGGAGCGGCCGCCCGGGGCTGGCCGCAGCTCCGCTCTGCCGGCCGGCCTCCCCCGCGGGGCTGGCCCTAGCGCTCCGCCCGGCGCCCCCCGCCTCCCCCGGCCCCGCGGCGCTCCCTGCGAGAAGGGGACGGGTGCCAGCAGATAACATCACGGCCGCGCAGGGAGAGGGAGATTTATAAGGGCTCCCCGCCCCACGTGCTCGCCTCGCCGCGAAGTGACGTGGTGGGGCTGCGGGCAGAGAGCGGAGGGCTCCGCCACCGCCCGTCTATTTATTCCCCTCCGAAGCCGGCAGGGAACAGCCGCAGCCCGGGGACGAGAGGGGCAGCCCCGGCGCATCTCTTTTTCCTCCTTCAAAAGGACGGCTGCAGCGCCCCTCGCCCCTTAGGGCGCCCCTTACCCTCTTATTAGGGTAACTGGGTCAAACGGCAACCTCGCTACAATTAAGCGCCTGGATGTGGTTCCGCGCAAGTACGCGGGGGGCAGGACGAGGACCCCCGGTAGCAGCAGACAGGGCTTTGCACTGCCCCACTCTTTTCACTTCCACGCACGTCTGGGGCAATTCCAGCGGGAAGTAGGCTCAGCTCCGGCTCTCCTCCCTGCACTTGACAGAAGATCTCAAGCCCCGCATTCTAAGGCTGCGTCTGCAATTCAGTTTTTCCACTGCCTCTTTCGGCCGCAGCGCACATAGCAGCCTGAGCCTGGAGCTCTGTGAGGGCAAGGGCCAGGCTCTGACCTCGGGCCCCACTCTGCCCTCCAGAAATGACCTCCCACACTCCCTCAGCCTTATGCCATAAAGCAAACTCTTCCGAAGAAAAAGGCGATTAAGTGATTTCCTCCTAAAGCTGCAGCTGAAACCAGGAGAAATGCCTCACGCTGAACCTATGGCCCCATGCTGCTTGGTTGCTGTCAGGGCACTGCCCATTACTCGCCCTGGGGGCTTCACAGCCCTCAAGGGTTGGACTACTAGATGATCATAGTGATCTTTTCCAACCTTAATGATTCTATAAAAGCACTCTACTCTCTCCTCCTGTAGGGAACTCTGTTACCTCTAGAGAGCTCTGCAAGAACCTTCCTGCCAGATCCCTGTAGTTCATAACAATTTGAAGAAAAAAGACTCCAAACTTCGCCATCTCTTTCACTAGAACAGCCCTGGAGCCTTTGCAGTGCCCTGTTCAGGTATGAGTATAGGCTGGGCTGTCCCTGCAGCCATAAATGCTGGGGTCCAAGCTCCAGAGTGCCTTACAGAAGCCACCAGAGATGCAACCACGCTGACAGCAAACCCATCTGACCAGATTCTGCTGAGATTGCTCCTGATTTGGCAGCCTGGCTAGGAAGACATTTCATTTTGTTCTCATTTGAGAGGGCACTTTTGCTTCTGTTTCTAAGCCTTTGTGTGATGCAGGGTGTCAGGTCTACCCAGGTTCATCTCAGCTTTGCCTCTCCAGTGCAACGATCCTCAGTTCCCTACAACCTCCGAGTATCCCCATGGTGATGTTTGCCAGGCAGAACTTCCCAGAAGCAGCAGCAAGCCAGGCTTTGGCCTTTTTGCTCCCAAAGGCTGCTTGAGCTAAACTGCCAGCAGCTGCAGCAGGCTATGGCACAAGCTTGAGCTGCTCCACTTGCCCCAGGAAAGGACTCCTTCCTACTTGCTGGGCCACTGCAATGTACAGATAGCCACCAACTAGAATGCACACACTGTGATATACACATCATAATTTATCTGATCTTATTTTCTGAATCACAGAATGGCTTGGGTTGGAAGGGACCTCACTGACTGCCTACTGCCAACCACCACTCACATTTGATATTTTTTATCTCAAAGAGTATTGCAAACTGGAATCCAACTGGGAGATATTTTTACCTTGCTAAAGCAATGTCCAGAAGAGACTATCATAAAATGTCCAAAATTACCTAGCCAAACTCCATACACTCCTCAAAGCCAGACAAAGAGCAGTAGTATATTGAGCAGAATATACTCAAGGCATTATCTGCACAGGTAACTCAGCTTTCACATTCTACCTTTAAGATTCAGGTACATCTGTCAAAACCTATCCTAATTATGGCTTTGTGTTTTATCTCGAAAAGCCCTCTATTCTTATCCATTTCTAAACAGTTTGTGTTTAAGGAGTACCCATCAGCTTCAAAAGCTGCAGGGATTATTAGGCACTAAAGCTGAACTGAGCAAGCACTTACCTTTCCCTCTGCCTCTTCAAAGCCGATGGACTTACCCTGAGCGCCTGCTGTCAGTGGGAGCTTTGTAAACCAGAAAGCAGGAACTGGCCTTCGCCATTCACACAGGGAAAGAACAGAACTTATCTGTTCTGAAGCATTTAATTTAATACAATACTGTCTTTTAAAATGCTGATATATATATATTTTAATAAACAGTAACTGTTTATTAGAAAAACAGGGACACCTGGAAAGTTACTTCACTAAACTTAAAAGTTTCATGTTTCCTATTAACTTAAAAATTATGTGGTCAGGATTTTACAATTTGCGGTTTCTTTTGAGATTGTTTTGGTTATACGCAAATGTGCTGTGTGAAACACAAAGGCAATAATCTTTCTAAAACTGCTGACGACCAGGTCATTAAGTAAGGTGGCTGGCCACATTTCATAAACTAAAGAACACTGTTGGAAGAGGAATAACTTTTATAAGTTAAGAGGTGACTTTTGTAAACTCGCACGCCGATGACGACTGCAGGATGCTTGCACAATTAATTCTTTGTGGCACACACAGAAATCTGCAGCAGTTGCTGTGGTCACGCAGAATCTCAGTTATTCTGATGCAGGGTGCGAGGCAGAAACATTCAAATTCTCCTCTTTATAAAAGGGCACGTAAGAGTGTTCAGCTTGAAGAGCTAAGGTGGCACCTAATAAAGGTACAGCAAAAAGGAGACGACAAATAATGGAAAAATTTAATATGTACACCACAATAAATAGTAAAACCTCAGGGTTTATTATCTTTACTGAAGTAGAAGCCCATACCTCTGCGCCGTACACTTCATTAGTGTGTGCAGTAATGCCTGTATGAATTCTGAGAGCAGATCCTGCTGACCTTACTAATACAAGCAGCCCCACTGCCAGTGGGATTGCATTTCACACAACCACAGCCTGCTCCTGCAACGCTCACGTTCCAGAAGATAATGGCTACTTTATATAACATACTGCTTAACACGCACGACTGCTATCCATATATACATGCACATATGTAACTACTTGCCAACTTGCAAATCAAAGGTATGTTTCTGATATAAATGTATAACTATAAATAAATAGAATACATACACAGATGAAAGTTCTCATTCTTGAGGATAGAGAAAGTTCAGTGGAAACAATCACAAGAGAGTCGTCAACAGGCCCCCACCGAGTGAGAACACGGGATTACAGCAAGCCCTGATGCCCACAACACAGTGTGCAATCTGCATTTAAAACCATACCCTGATAAAAGGCATCCAGAATGCAATCACAAAAATAACAATGACTTCAGACAGAATTCTGATCCCAACACTTTGAGCCAGAATGACCAAAATTTGAAGGAAAGGGAGGTGTTGAGATATTATGGTTTCCTGGGAATCAACACAATTATCAATGAGCTACATTTTTTGTCCTGAAAATAGACATTTTTTTCTATGAAGGCTGCACATATCAGTGCTGCATTCAAAGGAGTTCCTTCTTCTCACAGAGAGTCCCCATCTTTAAATTAGTTAAGACTTGAGTCTTGGTAAAGATGTTGTGAATGCCAGAGAAGTTCCTTCCCCATGCTTACACCTCCCAGTTTGATCCTCCATGTACTCTTCCAAATCTGCTTGTCAGCCCCAGGGTTACCACACTAATCTTCTCTGTATCATTCCAGTTTCAGTGTGTGTACCACTGAAAAAAAAAGGCCTTCCTTAATCCTAGCACCTGTGGTTTTAATCACCACAGGAAATCCTGTTTCCACTCAAGTCAGTAAGATTTCCCCTGTAAATATCAGCAGAGAAAACGATCACTAGGTTCACTAACTAAAAATACAAATTTAAAAAAAATAAAACAAAACAAAACTGGAGAAGCACAGCGGTTTATGTACCACAGGGTCTTGACATCCACTTACAGCAAGTACAACAAAATAAAGACAATAGAGCAGAAGCCATCTCTTTAATCCCTGTGTTTGAACCCCTGACCTGCACCTCATTCTCAGCATTACAGCTGTTGTATGCTATTTTTGAACCACTTGATGATGATTTGGGTTATGCCCCACTAAATAACATACAAATGATACCTATAAATACTATATTCCTAGCAGAGAATCTACAGGAGTCTATTCAGGAAATTAAAATGATGCAACTTGAGTTAGAATACGCATCTACACTGCACTTCAGAGAGTTTAAGGAGATTACATATAGAACAAGATTAATTGGCAGCAAATTCAAAAAATGGGCCAGGCAGTAATGCAATATTTAGCCTAGTGAGAGCCAGACAGCCTTGGGACTGGAGTTCTGGCTTCTTCACAAGCTGCTGGTGAAGTCCACATAGAAGAAAAGCTTTAATAAGTCAATGCCGCTTCAGAATTTCCTTGTCTAATGTATTTTAAGCACACACGTTTAAGATAATCCTAATGAGTTTTCAGAAAGCAGTTCTTTGTTTTCAATTATGCCAGAAAGAAAGGTTTTTTTATTAAGGTTTTCTGCTGCACTCACACAAGTTCCAGAGAAGTCTTTGTATTGCCTCTCTTGCCTCTTGTTCCAACATTGTACGTTTTTAAACCTATCTATTCTTGGCTACTGAAATTAATATTCTTGAGTGGCCCTTCATAAAGCTTCATTTCAGCTTAGCTGGGATTCCTCTCTCTCTACAGAAGAGGTCTATATGAGGCTGATACAATTCTGTTATCCTGAGGGCTGCTCTGTAGGGTACCAGCACCAGGAGAATTGGCATCCTGAGCTTGTCCCCCTAGAGCCACAACACTGCTCCACACATGGCTAGGGATACCATGAGCCTCAGTTTTACATTAGTTTATAAGTAAGCATTGATTAATTCTGTGATAGTGGCAATTTAGACCCAAATCCAGATGATTTCTGAGCCAGATCTAGACTAGGCCACCTAGAAGTCATTGCCTTCTACAAGATTTCATCAAATGCCGTTGGCCTTCAGAGGTCAAATCCAGCAGGCCAGTGGCAAGCTATCTGCACACTGACAGCAGAATGCAAAAGGAGGGAAGGAACTGCACAGTATTTGCTGCAGATTTATCCCCAGTTTGGTAGGTAATTTTGATTATATTAACCTCAAATAATAGCAGCTTTCTTATGACGTTAGCTATTTTAAAATGGCAACATGCAGAGACAGCACACACATCACCACTGGAACAAGAAACCAAAACTTAATCCTGCAATACAGTAATAATAATTTAAAAAGTCATTATGCAGGTGGTTCAGTATTGTGCTTCAACATAATTGTTGAATTCTCATTAGCTAAAGTGAATTAGGAACATTCTGCCTCTGCTAAGAAAAAATATTGATGCTACAGGAAAACACAGGTAATTCAATTCCCTTCTTACTTGAATGATCTTTATATAGAATATATTTTGCTTCTACTTTATTTCTAGACAGTGACACCAAAAACTGTAATAAAAATAAAATAAAATGTACAATAAACGTAATGAACACAGCAGATGGAGAGAACAATGATAGTACTGGCAGCCTTGGCCTCACCTGGTTGCACTGGAATATCATGAGAAAGGTGTTCTATGTCTTGTAAGTCCTAGTCCCTAACACAATCTCCAAGATTAACCCTCCTCTCTAAGCAGCACAGTGAGGTGGTCAGAGTACGTACAGTTTGTGCAGATATACTGAAGTCTATACCAGAGCAGTAAGCTCTGGTACCCAGCCCGATAGAGAGAGTTTTCATGCTTTCATGTGCCCAACTTCAGGCACCCTTTCTAAAATGGATGAAGTCCAGAATTTGTTCCTGGACACAATGCACAAAATATAAGGCTGTTTTTAACTAGCTACTTCTGAGAACATTTATCTGCAAGAAATTGTATCAAATCTCAACATAAATCTGATCTGGGCTAGTGGCTCACAAGTTAACATCACACATACCAAAAACAGAACTAAGAAACAGTGAAAATGTTGAAAATAAGACTTAAAGAGTTCGCTCACTGACACAGGAAGATGGGCTATTTGAATGATTGAGACATTATGAGGAAATAATACTTTCTCCTAAAATCACCTTCCAAAGTGTTTCTCAGAAGTAATCTGTACTCATGTGGTCACACAGGAAAGCTTGAAGAAAGCATAATTCATTATCTGACAAACACAAGGGTTTAAACAGAAATCATTTCCAAGGTTGAAGCATTACGCCAGGACAAGCATCTTTGGTGCTGAAGCTAATCTGGCCAGATTTTTATTTCAACATGTTCCTTAAGAGAGAAAAGCAATTACGAAGATACATTCAAAACCAAAAACGCTTTGTCTAAGAAGTATCCACTACTCTGTATCTGATTAAGAATGACCAAGGAAAAGCCCTTATCTGCTTGGTCATCTATAGAGCTGAAACCTTTTAGGTTTACATACTGCCAGAGGTTAATAGCTATTACTTTAGGATAATAGCAAAGGAGACAGACGGCCTTCCACCATCTGTTAACCAAGAATTTGTCCCGTCTCCCACATCTTAGACCCAGAGTCTGAGTTTAATGTCTTATTTAGCAGTGGGATTCCATCTATTTAATCCAAGCTTAATAGAATGAGGAGTTTGTCATTTTAAGTTGTGCAGTATTGTGTGCCAGATGACTTCTTCTTTCCTCCTTTAAGACAGCTACCAAGCCAGCTCTGAACAGGTGCAGCTTTACAAACCACCTTCTTCTGGAAACTTCAGATAAACACTTTTATGGCCTCCAAACAACTGAAATAAAAAGAACCATCTTACCTCCCTACCCCCGCTAGGAAGTAGTTTCCAGTTCTTTTGCTCTTCTCAGTTTGTGAACCCCAGGAGGAGCTGCCTCAAAGCAGAAGTGGGACCTCACCCCCTGTTTCCGCAGGGAAGACTAGGTGGTGCAGCAGCATCAGGCACAATAATCTTCCACCACTAGTCTTTCCTTAGCAGCAGACTGGAAGAAAAGGTCTTTTTTTCCATAGGCCAAATCATGCTTTCCTTGCTGAGAAACTAGAAAGGAGAGCAGACATGGGAAGAGCTGACCCAATGCCTTCTCTGATTAAACAAAACCTTGTTACTTGCATGCAACTCACAGAATATTAAACTCTACATACTCTAGAGTTGGCTTGAAGCCTAACAAAACTGGAACCACCCCATCTTTATTGACTTTATATAGATAGGTACAGAAATATACAAAGTCAAGATGATTCATGCTCTCTGGAATGAAGGGCAGCAGCACAGCTCTGCCTAAGCAGAGATATTCATGGGAGCAGGCAAAATAGACTGAGAGCTGCGATGGCTGGGAAAAGCTGCTAAAGGCTGTTCTTCCTTTTTGATAGCTTTAAAAGAATATTACTGTAAAGGTTATAGGAAAGCAGGTGAGACAGCTGATCCTGCTATCAAAAAGGGAGACTGGAAGATCTCCAGGCCAAACAGGGTTTAGTACTTTAGACTTGTTAGTCAAACTTGTGAAATAAATCAGCCTAAAATTAAATTATACTGCTTTCATCTGCCACAAAACTCCTAAGCTTATCTTTTGGAATTACTTACCTGTTTAAGTCACTATAGAAGCTTCTCTGCATAGGGCACAACCAAAGGGCAAGGCACAGTATCAGAATTATAAAATTATCCAATATGAAAGTCTGTTATGCCTCTTAAAAGGCAAGAAACACTCAACCTACAGGCAAAATACTTAAGCACTGCTGTGCACTTTAAAAAGAAATGGAAGCTCAAGATAAGCAAATTAATTATAAAATCTACAAACATCTGAGTATTCCATAAGTATTCTGAAAGTCACCTCAGGAAATTACAGTTTCTAAGTAAAACTAGCATAATTTTTAACAGCTTGATCTCAAACAGGGACCACTGATATTAACCTAGTGACTGCAGATTTAAAGGTGCTGATATAGTTTTTCTGCATAAAGTAACTAAACTCTACAGAAAGAAAACAATGTCAGATTAGACTATTATGCTGTTTTATCAACTCACAATTCAGTGTAGTACATTTTTGTATTGCTCTATGAGATGCCAGCTCTAGCTAAACAGCTGTACAGATGTCTAACCTTCAGAAGCTAGGATAACCATATGTCAAACTTCTGTGGTTTTGCCACTTGATATTTTGGGTGTATGCCTTCATTTGTGATAATAAATATCAGGCCACAAACTAATGTCTACGCAGATATCTAATATGTTTAACACTCAAAGCAGCTTGAAAATCTAAACATTTCTGCTGTTAGCTTTGAGTTCTCCTCAAAGAATTATGCTACAATGTATACCAGATGAATAGGCTAGAGATAACACAACCACTGCCAGTTGTTAGGATGGGTTTCCCTGTATCATTTTGAATGTATATTTTTAAGCTATAATTTACACATAGTTCACCCCCCCTGCCCTTCTCAATGCTTACATTAAAAAAACTAAATCCACCATCTTACCACACATTTCAGTGTGGAAGAGTGAAAATTTAAGGCTCTCCTAATCATATATTGGACATAAGCAGTTACAAAGAAAGGTCTGCATGAAAGAAAATGTAGACACAGACAGAATACTACTGTTCATATAAAGCATCAATTAATAGGCCTCAAAGCATTCTCTTCACATAGCAAACAGAAATGCGTTAGAAAGAGAATCCAAAACAAAGGAGGCAGAATTCAGACCCAGCCTCTCATCTAAAACTCCTTAAGCACCATCCTATTCTTTCTGTATACATCTGCTTACATATGAAGTACTTGCATTACGCAGTTAGCCTCTGCACCTTTGCAACCCAACAATCTATCAGAAGAAACTGGTGTGGCACAATCAAAGCCAACATTTGGTATCCTTACAGTATGCACTTAAGAGAAAGGGCTTTTGTTTGACCCTCTGCAGACCTGAGGAATTAGCATTACAGTTGACTAAACCCAGAGTGTGTCTCAGAGGTCCGGTTCCCTACAGAAAAAGACCAGAGCACCAGAACTGCAAAGGAAGCAACACTAAATACAATTTTATACAGTGTTGCTAGAAAAGACTTTTCTGCTCTAACAAACACAATAGCAATGACTGTCTCTTCCTCTTACTGGTCTCTTAACACATGTAACTTCAAGCTTACAGTGGAAAAACATACATACATATGTACACTTTTATACCTACTTTTTTATATGTATATACATATACACAAAGCCAATCAGTAGGGTCAAGATTCATTTTACAAATATGTTTCCATAGTTATCTTCAATCAGATTAACGCTTCAAGACCAGAACTATCACATTAATGGTTACTTCTCTTTATTATCTATGAAGCCTTTCCTAACCAAAGTAATAAAGGCTCTATAGGAGCCTGATAACTTTACAAGGTGACAGCATTTCTGTTTTTATTGTAAGCCATTTCTACCGTGAATTGCTAACAACTTTTCAAAGTGTAACACTGATTTGGAAATGCAGGCACACTAATACATCAATTGCCATGACGAATGTATAAACTTTTAATGACCTTGGCAAAATTCATCTTTTGTTGGGCAAGTGCCACTATTTTGACTGCACAAAATGTTTTGGAAATACGTTGAAAATTATACATGTTTTGAAAAATATTTCAGGATTTCAGTACAGCAAATGAAGCTATATTTAAAAAGCTGGACACTGTGGAAAAAGAAAAACTCGAGTTGTACAAGACTCTTTAAGAAGAGACAGCCTCCAAGTATTGTACATTCATAGAATGTTGATTTTTAATCCAAATAAAGAAAAATAAAGTATCTTGAAATGCTTTCAGTTTCATTCAGTCACTGTCATCTTCTTGTTTTAAACCACCTCCTTGTTCAATACTGCCTTCTCCATCACTTTCCTTATCCCAGTCTTTCATAGATGCTCCCATCATGAAGTCATCACGCAGTATATTCCATTCTGGTCCGTCTTCAGACTTTACTCCACCCTATATGTTTGAAGGAAGGAGAAGGAAGAGGATGGTGAGATGAATGTGAAAGGGGCAGTAGAAGATGGAAAGCCTTCATATAACCACAATAATGCCTCACACAAATTTGCACAGACAGATATACCAAAAGTCAGCACCTCACACAAACGTTACGTGAATAAACAGGGGAATCATAACTATCTGATGCAAATAAGTGAATTTGTTTTAACCAACCAATAAAAGGAACACAGAAAAGAAAACAGTTATTCCTTGTGGATGAAACAGTCAACCCTGGGCACGGCTTCCTTTATTAAAATCTTTCTTGGCAATCAGAATGGATTCATGATATCATTTATTAACCCCCAGGTGCTGCTTCATTAGAACACTTCTTGGCACATTTAGAAAACACAAATATGGATTTAATAAAGGCTTAAAAAAACCTAAATTTAATATTTAACATATTTGGCGATACGTGAACCAAATCCCCTTTATGTGGATTATTACCTCACTACCTGGACTTGTCATATGGTGCAAAGCTGCCTCTAAAAGAAACTGAAAGTTGATCTACACTCAGCATGCCAACAACACCTTATTCCAAATTTTGCGCTTCTTCAAAGTGGATAAACTGAAGCCATGCTAAACGGACCGGTGAATAATGAGGAAAAGTGACAGGAGCCTTAGTTTCAGGTTAGCACTGAAAACATTGCTAGGCTGCTCTTCTAAGTGACGGAGCACACTGAGCGGTGCAACAGCCCCATCCTGTGGCAACAGCTTTAACGAACAGGATGAAGTAATTCTGACATTCCAATCGTTACTGGAGGAAAACACTGAAAAACATTCCACGGACCAAAGAAGGACTCCAGTCATTTAAGCCACAGCAGCAAAAAACTTGTGAGGAACAATCAGTGTCCAACACCCAAGCAAAAAATTATTTTAGCAAGGAGGAATCGAAGGAATTGAAAAAAATTTACTTCTGTAATGTCCCTGAAACAAAGGTATACAGGCATTTCATACCACTATCTCCTTCCCACTGCCCTATTCAAATTGGGAACCAATTCACTTGTTTAACCACCACCTTCTGACATTGTACCTTCAGACTGGGGTTATTTCTTACAGCATCCTCTGCAGGTGCAGATCATGTACTTTCTGGGAGCATAAAATAGCATAAAATTTAAACAAAATAATTAGAAGAAAATGCAGATCTCTCACTGCAAACCTAACACATCACACCAACACAAGCTACCTGCTTGCTACAAGAAGTCTGCCAGACAACTTACTTTTAATAGTTACTCAAAACAGAAATGATTTCAAAAATGTGACTTGTCCTGCAGCTCTCTGTGAAAGGTGACTCCCTCAAAAATAAGATTACACATCTCAACACCTTCTCTTCCAAAAGCAATCTCCCCAGATCCAACTACCACCACCAACAACCAACTAAAGCTGTTCAAGATGTAGGTTTTTTTTTTCTTTCCTTTTGTCTCCACAGCTGCTCTCATTGATGGTTATTTGGAGGTGTAACTCTCCAATCTCCAGCAGCAGCGGAAAAACAACTCCCTTTTTCCCCAGGGGAGTGACTCCTATCTACTCTCACTGTTGCAGCAATTCACTACAAATGCTATTCCCCATAAAGCCTGAAATCATCTCAGGCAGGGTAATCAGTTAACTGGAATTAAAAGAGTGACAGACAGTGTAGGTCTGTACGAAAATATTCTCAGTGGAATAATACATTAAGTGAAAACTTTGGTATCCTGTTATCCTACACATTTACCTTTCCAGATTAGAATAAGGCCAGAATGATTACAAAAAAACACTTGCTGCTTTTTTTTTTTTTTTTTTTTAAGTCCCAGATATTTTAGAAATAATCACTGTTTGAACATATAATAGAGTAAAACCTGACATGGAAAAATCCTCATTTTCCTTACAAATTTACTTATTTTTTTGCAATAATAACAAAACCAGAGATGTCATTTATTTTTCCCACACACACAGAACAGACATTGTCAGCAGCACCAGCGAAAGGCTGCTCAGGCTTTGACAAGCCCAATGCTCAAATTATCACAATCCACTATTCAGCAAGTGAACAAGAGAACAAAAGCAGGACCTCAACAAAGGGGGATGCTGATCCTCCGCGGTATTACAAGGAGCCACAAAGGTTTGAATAGAAGTTTATACAAGCACTAAGAAGAAAGGCAGAGGCAGCATATCCATGCCTGAAAGATGAAGATTAAATACTTGAAAGCAAACATTTAATCAATTTTAAGCATGCTCCCAAGTGAAGAAAACCCCACGTTTAGTATCTTCATTCCTAAGTCATTTACCTCTCTATTTTTCCCTCACAGTAAAAACCATCCAAATCCATTCTATCACAAAAAAAATTCCTGGAGACTTAAGAAAATATGCAGCAAGAATATCTGTACAATTAATAATTAGTTCAACTCTAACATCGCTTCCCAACTTGTTTTATATAAGAATGTTAATGCCCTTGGGTTTTCAATGCTATAATCTTGTTCCATCTAAGTAGAACAGAAGTGATTCTTGGCACTTGGAAACGAAACCGGCTTTCATTCTATTCAACTGCCTTTGAACTCCCAGTCAGCTGTTCATCCACCTCTCCCACATACCACCGCAACACTGAAGTCCCCTTTGAACATCCCCAAATGCAAACAAAACAGGCTATATAAACATAAGCGCTTAACACTATGGGAAACAGTAAGGTAGGGAGTGAACAATTGCTTTTTTTGTTTTCCCTTCTTTTACACACAAATTTGAATGGGTCTGTTCTTTGCCTGAAAGCCTGGAACCTATTTCAGAGGGTCAGAGAGAGAGCAGTTACCAACACGTTTCCAGAGTCACTAGCGCAGGGTGATGCATTTCTTATCATTTGCTGCAGTGAGAGACCAAAACCTGAAGCTGTGGTTACTCCACTGCAGATGCCCATTTGCTGGGAAGGCCAGATAGCCCACCTGAAGAGAAATGGTAATACCACAACCGCAATCTCCCATGCTTGGGAGTCACTGAAGTTACCACATGCATTAGCTCAAGTCTGATACGCGGCTTTTGCATTGGTGACATATCTCCCAAAATATTACTGTTCTGAAGATGTAATCTCTGAAATCTAAACCAGAACAAGAAGAACTGAAATTACTGAAGTCCTAATAAAAACAAATCAGCCAACAATCAACAAAGCTTAAGTCTGTCACCCAGAACAAGCAGCCATCACTTGAAGGACCCAGGCTGGAATTGTTTCCTGGATGCTTATCGAGTAACACAGAGAACTATACACAGGCTGAAGAAAGTCCTGTAACACTTACTGGCGATGGTATAAAAAAGTTATGTTCTGAAAATAGAGCAAACAGATTAAAGACAGCATTTCTGCCACTCGAACATCTGCACAACAGCAAAAATAAAGGTATTTCTGCTTTTATCACTGTAGATATTCCCCTAAAGTCTAAATTCCTCTAGTGTTCAGAAGAAAAAAAAACTGCAGGGTATTAAACATTTTTCAAATGTAAGAATCAGAATCAGCACACTGGGCTCCTATGCCTTTGCTCTGTGAAGATGAAATACCAGAGCTTGCAGGGGCATCTCTCTTTACCATCATATACAATAAACGTTTATTTGTACCTGTCAGGGAAGGAATTTCTAACATAAATATCTCTAAAGCAAAAGACTTTATGCCCTGAGAAAACAACTCTAACATGTCTAATTAATTTGAACTGCCTCCCCAGGTTCGTCTGTTCTGCTCAATACAGACATCTAAGAACTTGAAATACAGGGAGGCTTTTGTCACAGCAAAGAAGTTAAAAAGTCTATCTGCCAAAATGCATTCTCTCATACATCCGACAAGCACCCTCCCTGCCAGCCTCCATCCTTCTCCAAATGACTGCTGCTATTCTCTTCCTTATCCCCAAGAAAGCTGCCTTAAGCCTAGCTCAAAAAAACCCACACACATACACTGACGTGTGTTAGATCTCCACTAAAACATAAGAACACATATAAAAAAGAAAACAAACATAGAAAACAAAAGCACTTGAAAGTAGGAGGAAGAGATGCAAGACAAGGAACACCAGCAAAATCTTTACCTCCATTTTCAGGAATATCAAAGTTCGTACTCTAGGAAAATAAATTTTCTCAGTTTTGTCTCAGCTAGAAGCAGACAGAGCTATAGCTTAAGTATCTTAAACAGCAACATAAGTAGAGCTGAAGATGTAATCACCTTTAACAGGAAAAAAGAAACTAAAAAAAAAGCCTGTCAGGTTTAATAAGCAGTACTACTTGCAATTTTCACTTATTTGAAATACAGTGAGATCTTCAATATAAGATAGTTTCCTACATACACCTTATCCCCAAAAGACAAAAGATCCCCAAAGATCTGGAGACTGAGACTACGTGAGACTACATGCTGAACTTCTGAGCTTAAGTCTCATAGAAACTTACTTTGATTTTGGAAAGCTTTTTTGAGCTTACAGACCATGCCATACACAACAGAAGTCTACTCTGCAGCAGAGTAATGCTACACAATTGTTTATTTGTTAATCATTCAACAACCATTTACACTCTCTCTTAATGAGACTGAACTCAAATGCCTTGGTATATTTGAAGTGACAACACCAAGCATGGTATGGGAGATTTATTCATACTACAAAGTCTCCTGCGCACACTGAAGCCCACAATTACATTGCTATTAAGCATATACAATAATCAATTTTTGCAGTGTTTTGAATCCGGTTGTTCCCAGTCAAACTTCTCTGCAACTGAAGCACTGGAATTGTTACTAAAAGGCAAGGGAAACACAAATACTGATTTTAATTTTGAGCACAGCCAGAAGACCACCCACAACTTAACAACCTGCATGAGGAATCTCCCCATCCTCATTTTCTCCTCTGGGGTTTACTACAACCAAGGATGTGTGAATGAGAAAGAATGCTATGAGTTGGCATGCAGAGGCTTAAATATGCTCCAACCTTGGAAAGGTCAGAATCACATCACAAAAACTCTAAATGCAAGTGTTTATCTAGCTT